TCCTCTATCCATCACGAACACACCGTCACCTAGCCAAAAAGAACCTCACAAAGTCGTCATAAAGCGGTCTATACTTGGTGCGCTTCAACGTTGCGTAATCCACCTCCTTCCCATCGCCGTGTCATCTACAATTGTCGGACTGAATATCAAGGGCATATATCTTGGGGCGGACATGATGTCACCTTTCAAATCCGAGACCATAAACCTGGCACTCTTCCAGTTAGCTGCCAAAGCTCATGAGATAATGATTGTTGCAAGCTTGAGTGTAACTGTTCTGCAGTGTGTCCGCCATGAATTGCTCTTTGGTGGTGGTCTTCCCTTGGGTCTCTTGGGATCAGGGCTTGCGTTGAACAACTTCGGGTATTTCTTCTCGAGAGAATTCTACGGTGGTTTAAAATGCATGGCTATTCATGGCGAGAGATCGCGCAGGGCTGCACTGATTGGCCTTGTAGTCGTGGCGGGCCTGCTAGCTACTCTTGCTGGGCCAGCGAGTGCTGTTCTCCTGGTTCCAAAATCACAAACCTGGAGCGCCGGAGGTACTGAGCTTATCTTGAACGGATCAGAGAGCGATTATTGGCCTGTTGACTTGTCGAAAGAGATCCCAGACCTCGAGCAACTCTGCAGTGAGCATAACTCCACTCTTCTGGGATTCTGCCCGGCGGGTGGATTTCACTCTTTGTGGAATCACTGGGGGACGATGAACAGCACTACTTTCCAAACCCAGAATGTCCGCGCCTATGCGAAGGGACTGTCCGGGTCTCGGTTTTACTGGCCAGTCTCCAGCCCCCTGTCTCTAATTCCACCCCTCTATTCACTAGGAGACATTCAGCAACAGCCAAATGGAAGAACATCCCTGATACAACCGCATGCAGCAACCGTGGTGATGCTACAGCGGCTTGCAGAAGATTGGTGGCGGGCCTTCAGTGCGCAGAAAGGTCTTTCGCAGAGTCAAGTTGACGACCGTACTACTTCGGCTACCTTCAAACATGCTATCGCTCTGGCCCGCTGTGCAGCGCCACAAAAGCTACGTGCCTCAGACACCACAGTGTATTTTCCTTCAATAAATGGTCGATTTGATTTTGCCAACAGCCTACCACTTGATGTGGGTAGTCTTAATCTCACTCCCACTGATCACCTACAGTTTCAATGGGTTCATCTTCCGCCCAGATTTGGTGCTGCTAGCATTGGGGGACTGTTTCAAACCCCCTGGATAACCACTGAGGGATGCAGCGCCGCCAGAGTAGCAATTGGTTGTACAGTACAGGCTGGCTGGGTTCCTGCAACGGTCTTTACTGACAAGTACACTTTCTGGACCGGCTGGTATCCGTGGAATATCCAATATAACAATCGTTCTCCCGCATGGAATCCGATCTCTTACAGCGCGACCAATGGTCGAGTGGCATTCGGTGATAAGTGGCTGAAGTTATTGACTCCTCCTAGCCCCCTTACAGTGGATGACACTACCAGCACCTGGCGACCGTCAACGATCGAAAGCCTCTTTTTGAATGCAGCTTGGCAACTAATGCGAAAACCGATGAGATAGCTCTCGATGGCTGGCTTGTCAACAATAGTTCAAGCTGGCAGATGGTCTCTCTAGTGGAGGCCATTGTCTGCAGTGTCATTCTTGATGGCCTCAGCCGAACGGGAAGTCATCAACTGTTTATCGAAGACAGACCGGCGATGCAACCTTCGACTACCACCCCCTCCACCCCTAGCGAATCAGTGACAATCAAAGCAGAAATGGAGATAAGTGGCTTTTCACTCCAACACTCTCTTGCTGGTACTCTCGCCATGTCAGTCCTCTTTGCCCACATGGCGATCGCTACTGGCCATATCATCTACCTCATACTTAAAAGACACACATCGGGCAGCTGGAGTTCAGTCGGAGAGCTCATTGCTCTGGCGCAAAATTCTCCGCCAGCGTCTGGTGTCTTGACCAATACTGGAGGAGGGATCCGGAGCTCGAAGACCTACGCTCACCTAGCAAGGATCCGTGTGGCGAGAGCTTCTGACCCCTGTGGACAAGGCCGCATTGTACTTGTCTTCGATGGACATGCGCCCTCTGAAATCTGCGGCGATTCTTCTGGAACTGAATTAGTTGGCCTGCATACCAGCTTGCTCTATCACTCGTCCACACGGCAAAATGAGCATCACACAGGCAGGAACACCTCATCATCTACAGAGGATAGTATTTGGGGTTTATCACATTCTACTGAGGGGTTGGTCTCTGAGAGTCGTCGCGTGGCCACGGTGACTACAGCTCTCGTGCAACCTGGACGCTCATACGCTTGAGAGATATCCTCTAAGTGTGTAGTACAGGCTGTAGGTACCTAGATTGTAGAAGACATCAACTGCCTCTGCTGGATTCTTGGCATGAGGAATCCACTCAGCGGGTCCTGTCAAAAAGACCCTGTATGTTTGATATCGACTTTTGTATCGAAGATCTCTGAATGAAACATGTAACTAAGGGTCATGGGACAGGCTTTTCCGCGGTAATTTTTGTACTCTCTCATACGGAAAATACAATGTGACGGATAACATGAAATTGACAATACACACTAGCAATGTCGCTTTGTGCACGGACCCACTCTTATTATCCCTACTTTGGCATCTTTACTTCATCCCTTCCACCGTCAAACTGTTCGTTCTCTATGAGCAGCACGAATGGTTAACACTCCGCTGCATCGCCAACTCGGCCGACTGTCATTCTCTGCGGTCAGCATTATAGGCTGCATTTATCTCATCTTATGTCTCGTCTTCCTTGGCTACTACCATAGCTCGAGCTATCGCGATCCCACGTCTTTTTTCTTCAATCCCAGCCGTGCCTATCAGAAACAATATTCTTCCACACGGATTGCGCAAGCAAAGACGTTTCTTGCCTCTACCGGCAACTTGGCACCTCCGACCAGACAGCACCAAGAGCCCCCAGCGGTGTGCGTGGGAATAGTAACGGTTCGTCGAAGGGGCGACCAATATGTTAGATTGACAGTAGCGTCTCTCCTGGATGGACTCAATGAGACCGAAAGGAACAGAATGCTTCTATACCTTCGTGTTGGCAACACCGACCCGAAAGAGCATCCTATCTTCTCCGAGAAGTGGGTGGAAACGCTACCCGATCGTCTGTTGACGTATTCGCAAGATGACCCCGACTTCGGACAACTACGAGCTTGGGAGGACGGCGGCTGGTATCGGAACAAGACCATCTACGACTTCACCACCTTGATGAAGGACTGCTATGAGACCGGCGCCGACTATGTCGCAATGATAGAAGATGATACCCTGGCGGTCAAGGGCTGGTTCCCATCTGCCTTGGAAGCTCTGGACATCGTGCACGAGCAGGCTGCACGCCAAGGTCAAGATTGGATTTATCTCCGGCTGTTCTTCGTCGATGGCCTCCTTGGCTGGAACTCGGAGGAATGGCCGCAATACCTGGCGTGGTCCTTCATCGTTTGGGCGTTACTTACAGGAACAATGGTGGTCTTCAAGACACGAGTATTCCCCACGCAGCTCCGTCGATTCCCGACCAGTGTCATCTGGCTTGCGTCGTCCCTGTTCATACCCGGTGCGATTCTGCTTTTCTTCATGTCCGGCCGGCAAACCATGTGGCCCATCTCCCCCGGAGTCCATGAAATGAACAAATATGGGTGTTGTTCGCAGGGGCTTGTTTTCCCGCGAGCGATGATACCCCGCTTTTTGAAGCAGACTGACTTGACGACTGACTGGTTGGTGGATATGATGGTTGAGACGATTGCTGACACCCAGGGCTGGACGCGCTGGGCTGTGGTTCCGTCGTTACTGCAGCATATCGGCGCGACGAGTTCCAAGGGATATGGGTTTGACAGCTCCGCCAAAACGATATGGAATTTTAGGTTTGAGGAGTATGATCAGTAGTGCGTCTTTAGGTTTAGATGGAGATATTATTATCCTAATCGACTTCTATCCACCAAAATACTGCTCGGCTTGTCAGCGCAAGTCAACTCGGTGTCAAGCATCTCAAATAGTAACCAGTTAAGAAAGTCACAATTTCCAATGTGATAAGGTGCTACGTATGGTAGCTGGGCATACACGGCATTAGAAGATATAAGAGTCATTATGTGTTGAAATTACTGATGAATGTCCACCAGCTTGCGACTAACTCAGGCCTATGCATTCATACGGCGATTTGCGGAGAACATTTCTCCGTTGGATGTACTGTACTTAACCCAGCGGCGTGGCACGGATGATACTGGAAGACCTTCTCTATTGTCACTCCTCATGCCACATAATTCATACACGTACGTGCTTTGGTTCAACAGAGAAGGAGAGGATGCGCCTCCGATGCTTTGGGAGGTGTCTAGACTACTCGCTAAAGTTACCAGTCTGTGACGTCGGTGAACAGCCATTCCTTGGTTTGCTATTGAAATTGCTGCGGTGGCAACCAGAGGGGTGAGACAGCGTGAAAGGTTTACTTGAAATCTCCTTGGGATCAAAAGAAGTAGAAGTTGAGTTTCATTGGGTATACTTGGGCATATATTTTCTTCACGTCTGGTAGCGAGCTCCGCTCGTAAATATAGCGTTATTGTGGGGCGCCATTTTTGACAGGATTGTTAGGATAGAGCCGACAAAAGGGTTGAAGTGATCAGGGTACGGAGTTATTATTATCAAGGGTAGCAAAACATCGGAAGGGACACTCCATCTATTGTCTGCGACCATCATAGTCTATAGAGGCCGTGAGCGTTTGATTGTGGACAGGTGTAGCAAACCTGATCAGTAACCGATGGTTGTATAGTTGCGGGTCTAGTTGTAGGTTAGTCTATCGAGTAACTCGATCTAGTTAGTGGTTGCCCGGCACAACCAGGCGGTCAAGCATCAAGTAACAACACACCGACTGATGAGGATCAACATCATGCAGGATACTTTTTTCAAAATAACAATCGCAATCATGTATCCTTGACTTGTCGCATTGGAGGCATCTTCTGTGATACATCTCGATTCGAAGTGACCGAATACCTACAGTGTGGCTGTTTCACGAATCCACAAATCCCCGGAACCTTTGAACTATAACTATTGGGGCAACACTGTGCTGATTCTTACTGGTGCTCCGATAACAAGTGGGATACCATTTCTCTTATTCTTTCACATTCCAGTTCCTGCATTTGCTTTCTTTTCTAGACTTCTGGCCCGCCAAGTTAACAAATGGAGAACCATCCTTATGGCGGTCAATTTACTGACTACGCAGACCTCCCAGACGAGGAATCATTACACCCCTCTTCAAGTCCGTACGATATCGCGCACTCCTCGGGTTTTATCTCCCCAGCCAATCGAGCCACTTCGCAAGGGTTCGAGCATCATGACGACGGCAGTTCTCTCATGGGAGACGTACAGATGCTGATTCAAGACGGATATCAATCTTCCGGATCGTCGGCACGCCACTCCAGCGAGAATCTCGGCGCATACCTTGATGAGGACCAGGCTTGTATGAGCTCAGGAGAATCCAGCCGCTCTTCGATATCATCGGTACCTCCATCGGTGTACACAAACATGGCAGAGGGGGTGAAAGGACATGGGCATCGACATTCTCATCCGTGGGACAGCCACGAGGGCATTCATGCGCATGGAAGGATCGATGGGACCTTACGGCCGATCTCTGCGACCCGGCTGAGGGAAGCTGCGTTCAGGAAGCCAAGCTCAGTCAAGGCCATGCAAATGCATACCGAGGATGAGCGGGACGATGAGGCCTTCTTGACCCCGCCGAAGCGCCGGGCGGCGCACCAGCGCTACTCGGACGCCTCGATGCGCTCAGTGGGCTCATCGCCGTTGCGGAAATCTCAGTTCTACTCACCCACCGGGTCGGCTGCCAGCAAGCAGAAAGCCAAGGACGAGTACCCGCTGGTCCTCTTGCACTGTAACCTGCTTCCACCATCGCTTCCAGTCCCCGGCGCAGCGGCTCTTCACAATCAGAAGATCGTCAGGGAGGTGCTTCCCCCGGTCTTCTGGCGTCGATGGAAGCTGCTAGAGGAGAAGGTGGGCTCCGGTGTGCTCCGTGAGCGTGGCGTACTGATCTCACATCCGGAAGATCTGTATGACTTGCTTGAGGAGCGGCTGCTGGAGAGCCTGGAGCTGCAGCGCCCGCGCCTCGATCACGGTCACTTTATTGGACATGACGAAGCTGTGTCAGATAAGGAAGGCTGTTTGGAGAAGGAGGACAGCGCGACAGACGAAGAGGAAGGGGAGCCATGCCCAGACTGTGGCGGTCATGTGGTCCGGCATGGCAACGCCGGGCGGAAGTGGGAGATCAAGGTGTTTGCAGCCAATGGGCTGATGCGAGCTGGAGCTTGGGCTGCTGCTTGGAAGGAAATGGAGAAGGTGGACGTTGAGGTTGGCGTGTGGCTGCCATCAGAGATCCGCAGGGAGCTGGAAAAGAGGCTCACCGGAGTTGATTATTATTCCTACCAACTGGACCCCCGACTGCAGGTGCCGCAGCTGCAGGTGCCCGGCAACGACCCGGTCATTCCCGCACACCCGCAGGCCCGGCATGCGCGGACGTCAAGCTCAATCACAGCTGATCACAGATCTTTCTCGCTCGATGAAACCGAAACACAATCGCCCCCGGCTATCAACAAGCCTGTATCAGTCGAGAGCCGACCGCCGAAGCCATCTTTTTCTCCGCAGTTGAACGATGATATCGACATGCAAACATTGTTGGTCAATTACATCCGCGTGTTGGCTAGCGACCGGCGCAATGTGGCCATTGCCATTCTGAGCATCCTGATGGTATTTTTCGCCATCCAGTCGGGCTCCCAAGTGAAGTCTTCGGCTCTGCGTCCGTTTCCTCACGATTTCATGGAGAATGAATCTCTGCACCTTCCTGACACGTCAGTCAATCAAGCGGATAGCACCATTCGCGACACTCCTATTGCCTGCGTGAGTCAAGCCACCGAGAGCACAAACAGCGAGAGCATCGCTGAGACAGCGCCTCTGTCGGTGAGTAGCATCCCAGATCCAGCGAGCATGAGCGTTCTCCCTCCCGCTGTATCTGAGACTGTCGCTGAACCAGCGCTCATGTCTGTTCGCGACACATCAGAGCCGGTGGGCGAAAGTGTTCAATCTGCTGTTTTGTTAGAGGCCGTTGCTGAAGTAAAGCCCACGCCTGCGGCTGACATCTCAGAATCTGTGAGCATGAGCTCTCAGTCTGTTGCCTTATCTGAAGCCATTACCCAGGTTGCATTGCCCGAACCTGACAGATCACATCATGGGCCGGATGCAAGCTCTCGGGCGAAAAGTCTTCTCACTGACTCCCAGGCTCGAGAGCAATTGCCCGAGTTTCTCTACCCAGTAGTAGAGCCATCGACAAGACGGATTACCTCGATCAAGGAGATGACTCCAATTCAGGATAGCTTGAGCCCGATGACGGAGCAATTGATGGGCCAACAAATTATATGATGATTATGATGATGGTAAATGTAGAAATGCGATCCATGACCGAGATGAGATTGATTGATGTGTGCATTTGTGCGGCAAGGCACTCTGGCTCATCATTCTTGTGGTTGTCGCAAGCTTTTCCTGTTCTCCACTTGTTTCCTTTTTACTCTTCCAGTGTTGTTTTTTAAGCCCATGTACTGTATCTAGTGCTTGCTGTATTCCTTGGCCAAGTTGGATAGTGAACTGGCCGACTCTTTGAGTGTGATCAATCCAATTATCTGGACAATAATTGCCGGGCTGCCAGGCATGCGGTGTGATAAGTGGGATTGGCATGGCTCGTTCTGGTGAGATCCCATCAAGAATAGGATTCAATAAGGGCATTTCGACTTTCCCGCCTGCCGATCATCTTCCAGGATTTTTACTTTTTGGCCCTCGGTTTAACCCGAACAGCTCCAAAGGGATGCACTTGTCAAGATAACTGCTGCACGCCTTGCAGCGCCTATCCGAATGAACCCTTACGAATCCCGCATCTCACCATGGCCAAATGGCAGGCCTTTCTACTTCTACGCCCAGTTCTAGTTCCTCGGGTCAAACCCCTCCAGTCCCTCTCCGCTTATGGCAGGTCATCATGAACTCACGCTGAGGCATTGAAGGATCCCTTACTTGGCTTGGCCTGAAGTTGACATCCAGTCCAAGATGCACGGTGGGCGGGCGGCCGCTGTGCATCGCGAATATGGCATCTATAAAGCTGGAATGTCTTGTTGCGCAGAGTTCCACGAAGACGAACGGCGAAGAAGCAATCGTTGCCTCCGGCTTGAGGTTTTTCGCAGGGCGTTAACTCTCATACTTTTTATTTTATTCCCCCTCCCCTACCCCATCGCACTCTTGTTTTTGCTGCTTGTCTGCCCGGTGTCTCTGTGGTATCTCTCTTCTCTTGTTCTTCGCCATGAAGTTCTCTCCCAGCAAGCTGGCCTTGTTGTCAGTGATCCCTGGCTTGGCCCAGTGGGCGTCTGCTCGCGTTGTTCAGTTTCAGATCGACCTGACTTACGAGGATCATGAGGTCGCTGGATTCGTGCGCAGAACTATTCTCAGTAATGGGCAATTCCCTGGTCCCCATCTGCAATTGAAGCAGGGTGACGACGTGGAGTTTCTGGTGAACAACTCCATGCCTATGGCGACGACTGTTCATTTCCATGGTTAGTACAGTCTCGTGCAATCGGGAGTATACATCAACTCATGGATACTTCCACAGGTATCGAGCAAAGAGGCACGCCATGGTCGGACGGTGTCCCAGGATTGACCCAGGAACTCATCCAGCCTGGCGAACAGTATCTGTACACCTGGACGGCCAATGACTATGGCACCTATATCTATCACTCTCACTCCAGAGCTCTGCTGGACGACGGGCTGTACGGCTCAATCTATATCGAGCCCGCGGAGTCGGTGGAGAGACCGTTCGATTTGATCACCAATGATCTGGGCGAATTGCAGGCAATGCTGGATGCGGAACAGAACACGCAGCCCATCCTGCTCTCTGATTGGAAGCACTTTGATTCGACGGACATCCTACAGCTAGAGAAGATATCGGGCGTGGAAAGCATCTGCACCAGTGCCGTTCTGGTCAACGGTAAAGGTTCCGTGTTCTGTCCCCCGCAGGAGCATATCAATGCGATCACGACGGCTGCTCAAAAGGAGATTCTGGGAAATGCGACATTGACTGATATGGGGTACGGTTCTCGGGCAACGAAGCAGAGATTTACGTGCAGCGGCTGACTTGGACCAGATGCATCCCTGCCGAGGTTCTCTTTGGCCCGGCATATCCGATCGATACCAGCAAGCTGCCAGATGGCTATTATAAAGGCTGTACGGCCAGCGAGGGGCCTACCGAGATTCTCAGCGTGGGCACAGGCTACCAGAGCTATGACCTGATCAGTATGGGAGGTGTCACCTCCCTGGTGTTCTCTATCGACGAGCATCCCATGTATGTCTATGCGGTGGACGGCCGCTATGTTGAGCCCATGCTGGTCGACGCTGTCACCATTCCAATCGGAGCACGATACTCGGTTCTGGTCAAGCTGGACCAGCCCGCTGCCGACTATACTGTCCGGATCGCCAACAACTACGCAACTCAGGCGATCAATGGCACGGCTATCATGTCCTACGAGAAGCAGCGCTCCAATACCTCCAGCGGCTCAAGCCAGGTCTCTCAGCCTTCCATCACCGAAGTCGGGAGCAATGCCACGGCCAGCACGGTGTTTCTGAACGAGACCCAGGTGGTTCCTTTCCCCGTGGTAGCGCCGGCTGCGGACGTTGACCACACCTACATCATCGACATCGTCCCGTACAACGCCTCGTACACCTGGAAGATGCACAATGCCAGTTACGCGTCATCGAATGAGGGGCTGTTCCCGGTGCTTTACAACCGCAGCTCGATCCCCGCGCAGTATACACTATCCACGCTGAACAACACCTGGGTAGACCTCATCATCAACATCACGACTGCTGGACAGCCGAATCACCCCATCCACAAGCACTCCAACAAGTATTTCGTCATCGGCTCGGGGCAAGAGACGTTCACGTACTCGTCCGTGGCCGAGGCCATGCAGTATATCCCGCAGAACTTCAACCTGGACACGCCTCAGATGCGAGACACGTTCTTCTCTCCGCCCGCGACGGCGGGGCCGACCTGGTTAGCCCTGAGATATCAGGTGGTCAACCCGGGGCCATTCCTGATGCATTGCCATCTCCAGATGCATCAGACCGGAGGCATGGCGCTTGCATTGCTTGATGGCGTCGACGCATGGCCCAATACCACTGAGCATCGAATGCCGGTCAAGGCTACGCCATGAGGCAAGGGCAACCTTGTTTGCTTCCATGTATACATAATATCCATAGTATATTCCTTGGACTAATATCAGTAATTACCTGTGATTTTGTGCGCATAAGCCTTGCTCTGCCCGGCCTCCTGCAAACACGCTGAGCTACGAGACGACCCTTGGTATACCCTCGGTCCCTCACCATTAGCCACTGATAGGTGAGTGAGTACACAGTACGGAGTAGAGAAGAGAAGAAAAGAAACTGCCAGGTGGAATGAAAAACAAACAAACATGCCAAACCGTTAGTCATGGGGACTCCACCGCCCGGCCCAAGAAGTGCCGCGATAGGACGACTGCCTCCCTTCGTCATCTCTTCTCCCCCGCCGCTTTCCTTTCCATCTGTATCCATCTCCATCTTCCCTTTCTTTCCTCTCCTCTCTCCCCTTCTTACATTCTCCCCTTGGGGTTACACCTTTCTGCACCTCACTCCTAATCAATCCACCTACATATCCCCCAAACACCGATCACCAACCATGGGCGGAAAGAAAGGCGGAGCCGGCGAGAACTCCAAGAAGGCGGCTGGCCAGGCTCGCGTACGTTTTGCACTTCCTCAGTTATACACCTAATTCTGTTACCCCGCCCTCCCCTCCCCCTCGCCGGGAACAATGTTGAATTTCCACCCACACCACCCCCCTTTTTCTCTCGATCTCTCCGGAAGCACTATCTTCTCTAGAGAACTCCACACTAACCACGAAAACCAACAGAAAGCCGAAGCCGCCGCCGGCAAGAAGGCCGCCGAGGACGCCAAGCGCGCCGCCGAAGAAGACAAGCAATGGCAGAAGGGAGCGAAGGGCAGTGCTAAGAAGTGCGTTTTTTTTTTCCCCCCCAGTCCTCCAACTTGATTTGACTCGTCTCCATCTCCCCTCCACCGTTTTTTCTCCAACATCTCATCTAATTGTGAACACTCCCACATCCGCAGGGACGACGCCGAAGCCAAGAAAGCCGAAGCCGCCCGCAAGAAGGCGGAGCGCGACGCCCTCCTCGCCGCCGAGGAAGCCTCGCAGCCCTCGAAGCCGAAGGGCAGCGGCGCCAAGCAGGCCGTGAAGAAGACCCGGGGCTTGGACCTGTCGCAGCTGGACGAGCCGGCCGGCGGTAGCAGGGCCTCGGCGCTGAACGCGTCGGGCATCGACAACGCGCTGGACGCCCTCTCCCTGACGGGCAAGGACGCCGGCAAGGTGGACCGCCACCCGGAGCGGCGGTACAAGGCGGCCTACGCGGCCTACGAGGCCCGCCGGCTGCCCGAGATCGAGGCGGAGAACCCCGGCCTGCGCCGCCAGCAGCGCATCGAGCTGTGTCGCAAGGAGTTCGAGAAGAGCGAGGACAACCCCTTCAACCAGGTGCATGTGGCGTTCGATGCCAGCCGCGAGGAGATCGCGGCCGTGCGCGACGCCGAGCGGAAGAAGGTCGAGGCGCGGTTGGCCAAATAGAGGTTTCTTTTCGGTGTTCTTTTGTTGGCGAGGAGTTTGTTTTTCTTTTCAATTTGTCCTCGATGTCATCGCACGTAGGTGCTGTTCAGTACGCGCTGCTACGTACTATGATTGTGGTATATATACCCGGGTTTTTCCTCTTTTGTCGGAAAGCTCAAAATTGGAGTCGGATATAGGGCTGCGTGCCTCGGAGCCATGATAGAAGAGGGTTGGAACTGGATACGGTAGACAAGATGGAATGACTGGGAAATGAAGTGCAATGAGCGCAAAAAAAGCTAGCATTGAACAAGTATATAATCAGAAGGTGACAAAGAAATGTTGGTATCATGCAGTCTAAAGATCATATATCCATAATATAGAAAGAAGGAGAGTCAGCCAGACGAAAAAAAAGAGGGTTGCTCACGACCAAACCCGGAATCAACCACCCATGACAGCCCGTACGTCCCAAACATATAGACTCTCATCCCACCCGACACTGGCACACCACCCCTCACTCCCGAACAGACACCAATCCACCCCCGTGACGAATTCCGTATGCTGGCCCATCCGCCCCAATTCGACGCCCATGTTGGGCCCGCCGGGCCCGGCCCGCATCATGTCGACATCGCCGACGACGCCGGCGGGGGACTGATCCGACCAGGCGCGGCAGGTCATATCATAGCTGGCGCTGAGCAGGACGTTGGACAGATGCGGCGACCAGGCGACCTTGCGGACGGCGTAGTTGTGGCCCAGCATGACGGCCTGCGGGCCCTGGTGCGGGGCGCGGATATCGAAGGTCCGGATGGTGCGATCGACGCCGGCGGTCGCCAGCGTCGAGGGGCGATACTTGTTCCAATCCATGGTGAGGGCCTCGGCGGGAGCGGCGGAGCCACCACCACCACCACCACCGCCGGGCGCCATCATGACGGTGGGCGGCGGCGCCCCCGGTTGCGGCGCGACGAGATTCGGACCTGCCCCTGCTCCCGCCCCGGCGCCCCCGGCGTGGATCGGAATCTGTAAGGTGAGGTGGTTGGAGGCGGAGGCCGGGGTGCGCAGGTCGTAGAGCCGCAGGTACGAGTCCGAGGTGACGCAGGCGAGCAGGTCGGGCGAGTGCGGGGCGAAGCTGGCGGCGTAGGTGCAGCTGTGCGTGGGCAGGGTCAGCAGCGAGTGCGGCCGGTGCGGCGACCACACCCGCACCGTGCCGTCCCAGCTGCTCGAGCTGAACCGGTCCTTGGCCACCAGGTTCCAGTGCACGCTGAACACCTCGCGCTTGTGCTCCTTCCACTGCTGCACCGGGAAATCCGTCAGGCTCGTGTCGAACAGCTTGATGCTCCCGTCGCCGCTGGCGGTCAGGACTTGGTGCTCGTGGATCTCGGACCACGCGAGGTCGTAGAGGGAGTCTTGGGTGGTGAAGCTTTGTGATTGGTGTGTGTCAGTTGGAGGTAGGAGGGTTGGATGATGGGGGGGGGGGAGGGATGGTTTGGGAGAGTGTGGTGCGTACGTACTGTTTGGTGGGGACTATGCCATGGGGTGTCAATTCGAGAATGAACAGTCGTCCATTGCCCACTAGGCCGTAGTTGGCCGAGGCGGCGACCGCGAGCCGGTTGTCGAAGAAGGGAGAGTATTTGACTGCGCAGCCGTTGAAGCCTTCGGTGCGGAAGTGCAGCATTGTCGTGGTTGTTGTGGTTGTTGTTTTGTCGGATGGGGGACTAGATCCGGTGGTCTCGGTGCGGGGAGGTGATTGGAGGAATCAAGGACGAGCGGTCATGGCGGGGAGGAGCGGAGATAGAGGAGAAGGGTGGAATGGAATGGCGTTGATACAAATGGAGGATGCTCGGAGGCAGATGAGAGAAGGATGATAATGTGGTGCGGGGGAAATGAGGCCGGAGTCCGAGTCCTGTTGTACTCGTAGTGCGTTGCCGCTCACAGAGCCAAAAGCGGCGCGAGTCTAGCTAAGTTTAGTGCGGGGGAAAAAAAGCGATGGAGAAGAGCCGAGGTTCGGCAGTCCGACGATCTTCGCCTGGTCGGGTTTCTTACCTGGCACATGCACGCCCGCCAATCGAGTTAGCAGCAAACAAGACCCTGTCGATGCTTGGACCTGAAGTATCTCAAAATAACCGGGGATTGGAGATTCATCTAGACACAATCAATGTCCCCCCTCATCCCCTTGCAAGAATGCCAACCAGCACTTCCCATGCATCGAGAACATCAAGGATGTCACAGTGACGCCATCAGAGCCAGAATTTAAACTTTGATGTCGCCCAAACTGTGATCAACAGTTCGGAATTTGTCAAATCTTCACTATGGCGTTACCCGTTGTCTCTCCTCCCCTCCTCTGTCCCTGTTCCACTTACACTCCCTTAATCACACATTGACCTCAGAAGCCATCACCATGCCCTCAGCCTGGACCGATGACACCACCAACGACCAACCCGCCAACGACGCATCATCCCCCACCCCAGCCGCCGACTTCCTCACCACAGAGATCTACAACATCGGCGCCCAGCCGGGCATCCGCTCGCTGCCCCCGAGCCCGGAACGCGACTTCCTGGCCCTTACCTGGGGGCCGGTCGTCTACCGCACGGCCTACAGCGCCCGCGCGGACCGACTCCTGCCAGTGTTCCTGCGCGCCCTGTCCCACGAGGTCCAGGCGGCCATCCCGCGCCGGCTCCCCGGCACGCCCAAGCAGCGGCACCTGCTCGAGACGAGCTACGCCTGCAAGGTCTTCAGCGACGAGACGCGGTTCGCGGGAGCGGGGGCAGAGATCGGCGCCGTCCGCCGCGCGTTCCACGACTGGAAGCGCGCGGACCTGGCGCTGCCGCTGATGGAGCTGCCGGCGCGGTTGCGGGTGTGTTTGGTGGTGGATGAGGGGGTGCTGCGGGCTTTGGAGAGGATGATGACGACGACGACGACGACGACGACGACGACGCAGGAGAAGGACACAGACGAGGAGGCCCGGGAGAGCTCGGCGGAGGACGGCATTGAGAAGGGATCCGGGGAGATGTCCTACGGCAGTTGTCCGGTCATCATGGTGGAGGAGAATTTCCCGGATCGGAGGCGGCGCGACTCCAACCCCGCGGATGGGGAGTACCCCGGCTGGACGCAGGTGGCGCTCTCGGCGGTGGTGGAGGTGCTCGAGGGGATGAGGTTTGGGAATGGCTTGAGCCGGTTTCATCGCTCGGGCAGAATCTATCTGGGAGAGAGTCAGTGGTCTTGATGGGTTGGTTCATGTCTCTTGGAATTTTGGCTCGTATAGATCGTTGGCGTTGGGGAACCGGGTGTATAGAGCTGGGATAGACATAGACGGTGTTTTCAAAGAGATGAAATTGAGAGTATCATGATTGTGACTGCGGTGCTTGATCACGTAGCATCTTCATATAATGTGTAGCAAGCAGAGATCGAGCGACGTCCATCCCTGTCGATGGTTACTGTCTTCCAGTTCCAAGTTGCTCGAGTATGATGCTTATCGCAAGGCGCACGCCTGCTCATTGGCCATATTGAGAGCAGTCACGTGGTGATAGGACATCCATTTCCGCCCATCGTTTTGTAATCGTTCAATCCCTTTGCGTCCTACAACTATACAATTCGTTTTTATGGTGTGATGGTCTGAATAGTTTGCTTTACAAGTCAAGTATCCACCATGGATCGGTATCTCTCCCGAAAACGGGCCCGGAGTCCACCGACGCCCACCTGCTCGGATGAGGACTCGACCGACATGAAGCTGGCGCGCCTGGCCTCTCTCTTCCCGGACATGGCTCTCGATGCATTGATGGAGATTCTCCTTTCCAGTGGCGGCTGCGTAGGGACAGCAACCACCACCATCCAGGCGCAAGCCTCTCTGTACCCTCCCAAGAAGCGATCGACGGCCGGCGCCACCCCCGCCATCCAGACCTCCCTGAACGCCCACATGCGGATATCCCACCCGCAAGACCAGAAGCGCTCACTACTGACCCGCAAAGGCAAGACGCTGCATCTATACGCCCCGGAGGACATCGCGGCGCACACGCCCTGCACCATCATCCACAACTTCCTGCCCGCGGCGCAGGCCAACGCGCTGCTGCTCGAGCTCCTCGACGAATCGAAGCACTTCTCGCGCTATCGCTTCCAGCTCTTCGACCGCACCGTCCAGAGCCCCCACTCCGCCAGCATCTACGTCGCCACCCCGGAGCAACACCGCCAGCACACCGCCGAGTACACCTACGGTGGCACCTACCGGGCCACCGTCCGGCAGACCACCCCGCACCTGCGCGCCGTCTCCGGAACGGTCCAGCAGACCGTCAACGCCGAGATCCAGCACCGCATCCGCACCGTCTACCCGGGCGGCCGGAAGCTGAAGTACCAATCCCCGAAAGAGTGGATGCCCAACGCGGCGTTTGTGAATTGCTACGATGGGCCCACGGAGGCGGTCGGATACCACTCGGATGAACTGACCTATCTCGGCCCGCGGGCCGTGATCGGAAGCCTGAGTCTCGGCGTGGAGCGGGAGTTTCGCGTCCGAAAAATCATTCCCACCGACGACGATGACGATGCTGCTGCTGCTGCTGCTGCTGCTGCTGCTGAAGACCCGGAGGCGCCGGGAGATACTTCCGAAGGACAGATCTCGGCGCATACAGCAGCGGATAAGACGTCCACTCCGACCAAGGCCCCGATTCCTTCGGAACTCAACAACAACATCTCTCGCAAATCACCGACGACATCCTCACCAGCAGCAGCAGCAGCAGCAACAGCAGGAGCCCGGGCCAACGCTCAGGGGCAAATCTCTATCCACCTCCCGCACAACTCGCTGCTGGTCATGCACGCGGAGATGCAGGAGGAATGGAAGCACGCCATTGTGCCGGCGCAGACCATCTCGCCGCATCCGCTGGCGGGGAATCGGCGCATCAATGTCACGTATCGGTGGTACCGCGACTCGTTGCACCCGCGGTACACGCCCCGGTGCCGGTGTGGTGCCCCTACGATTCTGCGGTGCGTGCAGCGCAGACGCGAGACCCGGGGCCGGTATATGTGGATGTGCTATGCGGGGTATGCCCCGGGCAAGAAAGGGTGTAGCTTTTTCCAGTGGGCGGATTTCAATGAAGACGGGGAGCCACTCTGGGACAAGACGGCCGTGCCTGATGATGCGCCGTGGTTGGAGAATTTCGTAGAAGGACAGGATCAGCTTGAGGCTGGGGTTAGGGGACACGTAGGAAACGAGAAGGACAATACCAGTATCTGAGAATACCTTATTTATCGGGAAAGGGTTGCATTGGTGATACTGCGTCAGCCGATGGATATGCTTCCGGAATCTCATTCTGTATGCATAACAGCCTTAGTTACACTTGATCATCAAAAGAGACTCTTCAATTGTGAGGCAGGGGAGAGAAAAGTGAACAAGGCCATTCTTTTGCCAGCATCCACTTTGACTACCGCCACATTGACTGCAGCACTCCAGCAAATTTCGGGCGTCAAAACAACCATGTCGCATCGTGTCAAGGGAGACGAGTTGACAATCCACAACCGACTTCCGCGCTCCTCTGCTTCCTCTCACTTGATCACATCATCCAAAACTCCTTGAAGCCCACATCCCCAACCAAACGAGCATCAGGCACCATAATCCAACTGTAGAACCGATGAATCCCGGCTACAAGCTTCCATCCCCTTCAGTACAAGCCTGTTTTCAGACTCTCTTTCTCTCTCTCTTTCTCTCTCTCTTTCTCTCTCTCTTTCTCTCTCTCTTTCTCTCTTTCTCTCTGCGAGGAGAAATCGAAACCAAAGATTTTCGGCTCATGGTATTGGGCCGCCATCGTGCGAGTTCTGCGGCGCCCGGAAGAAGATGCGTGCAGTCCCGTCTTTTCTGCCTCCCCCTCACCCGGCCCCACCAGCTCTCACGGACCGACGCTTGCTGCGGGAGCTGCAGTACTCGGAGCAGGCGACAGCCAGGGCGAAGATGCAACAGATTGTGATGATGGGGACGAGGATTAGGAGACAGACGATGATCGTTGTCTTGTAGTTGGACGGGGGAAATGTTCGCTTCTCATTGAGGGTGGCGCGCATTGTGAGTGTCAGGAAGGCTTATATCGGTGGGTTTGCGGTGACTGGTTCGGATATTGCTGTGGGTGGACTTTTGAGAGGCAGGACGACAATTGCCACAGGGCTTGTTTGTAGCTGTGATGAAACTTGCATAGATAGGACATACAAGAAGCTGGTGATTAGGATGCTTGGTTCTGGTGTTCTGAAACTGAAGGTGCTGGGAGGGTAACTTGCTAGCTGCTGTGCACGGAATGGGAAGGTGCGAACAGCGACTCAAAACGGGAGCCATGATGATCAAGCTCATGAATAATTAGGTATGAAGGCAGGTATATCTCAGATCAGATGATTGGTGGTAGTACAATGGGTATATTGAAGCACCTAGCTCGTAGGCTTTATTGATGCATCCCCTCCGTTCGTGGGTTGATTTTCTCCTTCACCGATGCGAGCGTAGCCCTGTCCAGACGGGTGAATCGAATCTATGGCAAGCCCATGTCAGCAACAGTTTCTCGCTGAAGAGGGAAAGCAAAAATAGATAACATACCGTCTCATCCGCCCCTCCGCGCGTAGTGCCATACAGGGTTGAATCCGAAATACTAGCCTCAATCTCACTCTGCACCCGTCTCACCCATATCCCATCCCAATGCCAGTCCCCAGGGGCTCTGGCTTGCGGACTTCCAGCCTTCTTCATCCCCTCCGATGAGGTAGCCGTAGCGCCATCGTTGCCCCTCTGGTGTGCCTTCCACGCATGCCACGCGCTCGGGTTCGCGGCCGCCTCCAACGGTAAGGAATCCAGAACCGTCGCATCGTCGAATGTCGAGCGGATATAGTCGAAAAGGACTGCTACCGGGACGGTTTTCCTCGGTTCCGAGAAACGTCGGTCTACTATCGGAGAAGTGGGGTCGGTCTCTTCCGTCGTGGGCGAGGTGGGGGTCGTCTGGTCTTGGTCGAGTATGGGCTCTTTGCTGGTCGGCGTATCAGGTCTCCTTCCTCCGCCTGAATTGGTGCTAATGGTCGAGTTGCGCACGCTCACGGCTTTGATGGATGGAGCTGTTGACGGGTTGAAACCGCCTCGTTTGGCCCGACCAAACCAGTGCGGGAACCCGTGTCGTAAACTAAATCCGCCGGGGGGTAAGCGTTCATCGTCGGTGGCGCTGACTGGATCTTCGTTCGAGGCACCGGTGCTGAAGGTGTAGGTGGTCAGGGGCACGACCAGGGGGTGAAAGACGTCGGTCGCGAAGTTGACCATGGGCGGCATGTCGGGATAGGAGTCAGGGAAGCGGATCTGGAAACGGAGGACAGCGGAGGCATAGGGACCTTCAACGGACGAGTAGTAAGCATGTCTGTTAGCTGCTATGGAGCTTCAGTTGGCCTGCCGAAAGTATAGAGATCTTGTACCAGCGCGAACAAAGATAACACCAGACCAGAGCGTTGGATCACCGGGACTGAGGCTCACGTAGGTGCCCGGAGGGGCTGCATGTTGCAAGCTCGCACTGGTGCAATTAGCCGATGCTTGGACAATTAGATTTGATCATGGACTGACTGACAATTCCAGAAGAAGCTGCTGTTTTCGAAGGGATGGAATGCTAGGTAAACGGGTTGTCGACATGATGTACTGTGCTGTTTATGGTTGGGGCGGAAGTCCGTCTTGTCTGGCTTTCCATTCTTTAGAGACGGGCTCGATGTCAACTGGAAGTGTTGATCTCGCCTTATCCCCGTTATCTCCGCCCGCCTGCCTCATCCATCCCGAGCCTCAGGCAGATAAGTATATGGCGAGGTATACATACATCACGTACAGTAACTTACGTATGTACTAAGTACAATCCTGGCTCATTGTCGAATAGTCACGTAGTCAAATAGTCAAAAAGCCAAATAGTCAAAAAGTCAAATAGTCAAATAGTCATCAAATTCGCAAATAGTCTATCTCTATACTTGCATGCAATCTCAACGCTGGTAGTGAGTGCTCCAATAACGCAAATAGAAAAGTGCACCGCAATCATAGACAGCCGCCTACAAAGCTCATATCATAAGGTGTCATGTCACATTCCCCTCTTCAGTGCTTGAATCGAGGCCCTCTCAAGTTTTGTATGGGGTTGAATCAGCCCCAGAACCGTCATACCCTCTCCCACGCCCTCATAAATACCCCCCGCGATACCTTCCACCCACCAGTCTGTAATGTTAATCACCGTCGAGCGCACCCTTCCCTCGTAGAGACCTAGGATGGTAGACCCAAAGCTCATGCTTCGTTTACCCCAGTTATCCGCCGTGTCCAGCGTCGTTGAAATGACACGTTCGGTGACCCGATGGGAACGCTCGTACTGATAGACCCGCGCAAGGAGTAGCTTCAGGTACGGGACGACGTATCGCACAAGGACAAAGAATTGAATAATAACGTACGCCAGCAGGCGATGCAGGAGTGACCGTCCAGACTTATTAGACCGACTATATACGTCCGATGTTGTGTCAGGACTTATAAGCCCTGTTGCCGGCTGGCTTGCATCGCCCGGTGCCAATGTGGATGACTGGAGACTTGATGGCAGGTTATGCCGGATGGTTGCGATCTCGTCGTGAGTCAGTTCCGCTGGTAGAGCATCTAATAGATACCCCAGGGCAGTAATGTACAACGAGCGGGCCAGGGGACCGTCGCACCGGGGCTGTTGCGCTTCATATCCAGCGTTTCGGAGAAGGCTCAGCGCTAATGATAAAAGTGAGTCAGTTCTGGCACAACAGGATTCCCAAGTCATCGTTCACGGAGAACTCAGCGTTCTGCAGTCGGAGGATAAGGGCATGATCCGGACCAATTCAGATGTATTGAAGAGGGGATAGGTGTTGCTATTACAAACCAGGTATTACTCTATTCCATCGCAGTCCGGACTCCGCTTCGTACCTCGATGATGATGATACGCCGAATGCATCACCATATCTACCCTCTTCAAAGGCAGTGATCTCACTCATGTCTGGAGCCTTTCCCGAGACAGAAGACACGCAAGAGTCTCGCTCATTGCTCGAACTATCCGCTGTCGCAGGCCGCGGGAAAAGGTCGCCGGTGAGTGGGTCAGGCAGGGTCTTGTAGCACTCTAATTCCGGAATGGAGGATGACGGCAGACGCGAGTGCATGGAGCTCGAGTGCTCGCCAGTCGTCTTCGCCTTGAAGTCTGGCGCGACACCTAGGCTGACCGATCGCTGGATAGTAGAGTACAAGCTTGGGAGTCGCCGTCGGAGAGATGCTGGAATGACGGGAAAAAGGATGGTAAACGCCTGAGGATAGACCATTGTGTCATGTAACGGTGTTCGATCATCCATGACTGCCATTTTCGACGGCCAACTGCCGTCTTTGACCATCGACAGTGACTGGAGAGGGGTTAGGGCGAAAGGCGAGAGCGTCTGCGTATGTCTGACGCAGACGGGCGGGAAAGCGTTGGAATTCGCTTGCAGTTTTTCTTGGGTCTACTGATATTATCAGGCCACAGTGAAGTAGCACGTGGCTGTGTCAGACCGTTAAGTAGCGGCGACTAATGCATGAAGGCCATTTCGTTGAGTTGGTTGCGTTGGAGGGGAAAATCCCCTCGAAAAGGCCCGGCGTCCAGTTCCGAGAGAATCACATGTCAATAGACTCGTCTCGACTCGGTTTCCCTTTCTTCCGATAAGCAAGCAATCCAGCGAGTGACAATCCCGAGCCAAACCCGTCAAGGTAGGTAAACATGAATTCCATGATTCATTTCATCCATCCACCTAGCATCCAGAAGACTCCGTCCATGACTGAATGCCCCCCTAATGAACATCCATAATGGATACTAGACCTATATACCCAGCCAATCAAATGGAAGTGGCACGCCTGTCAGTTCCAGGTTACACGCCCTGCGCCCTACGTCTGACATGTGCGAAGCAAGGATCAAACCCCTCTATGAACCGATTATATTAAGACTAAACATCGCCTGCTTTAACTTCTGTGTCAGGTAAAGAACCTTTTGAACGCTCACAAGACTTTGACATGGCTAACTAGAACCAGAATCCGAGATCTTTACCGCCATAATTTTGTCCGTCTGACAATCTCCCAAGCCAAACACCCTTTTCTTCATTCGCCAATCAAACATCCCTTCCGGAAAAATATAGATCCTGTGCCAGACTATGATTCGGATCAGGACCTGCATCGGACATATACACTTCGTTTTGTTTGGGGCTGGGTATAGGAATGGGTGCCGAGGCCATCTTCGACGGAGCCAGTGGCTGTGCCGTTGAAACTGCCACCTGTGCTTCGTGTTCATGGGATATGAAATCATTATCATTACCGCCGTCGCCTCCAAAACCCAGATCCTGCAGTTCCTCCAAGGGCATCTCATCGTACCGAGAATTCAATTGCTGAAGGAATTCTGGGTCGAATCCCATTTGCACGAATGGATCAACCGAGGCGCTCAACGGAGTGGAAAACGCGGTCGGTCCAGCAGACACACTGCTTCCCCAGTCAGACGACAACCCTGACTGAGGTCTAGTGAGCATGGTGCCAGAATTCTCGGCATAGCTACCAATGGAGCTTCCAGGTGCGCTTGCTGGGACAGAGGACCGACTCGTTCCTGGAAGCGCAGGGCTGTGGAACCCGGAAGGAGGAGCTATAGGGCTGAATGGTTGTTGCGAACGACAGGCAGACCTTGCTAACAAATTGGTTTCCACGGGCGGCTGTCGTAGTCCGTCCGTTGTGGCGAATGGGGGCTGCATACCCAGGTCAGAGAGTTGGATGTGGTCCGAGCCGGGAACAACTTCAAGACCACTATCCCGTTTCAGGAAGCTGAGCCAGACCGGGTTGTCGGCACAAGTCTGGTGCCAACGGTCGTCGGTGCCGTAAATGATCATCCGGGCTTCATCCTGAATCATCTGATCCGAGGGCACAACGCCTGCAGCCACTTGATTGTGTACGAAGGCAGTGAGTTCATGCTTCAGTCGAATGAAGCAATTGGCATCTTCTGCTACCACGAGTCCTGGCGCTTTGCCTGCTGCAGATGAAGGCTTGAAGGGATTGAGGGTCTTCTGGTCGTGGCCAATGAGGTACGGTGGCATGGCATTTTCAACGAGGCCTAAGATGAAGGGCTCAAAGCCCCAATCACCTCGCCATTGAGTCATGTTGCTGCCATTCTTAAAATGCGAGGCCAGATGATCGACTCGGTCCTTCCAGGTCGATAGACTAATCCCGCAGAATCCACATCGTGACTTCAATTCAGTGATGCTACTCCGCCATGCATCCATGGATGAGAGAAACTTGACATTGTGCATGAGCCGAAGGTGCTGATTGAGATGATCCTTCCGATAGAAGGAACGTTCCGCAGATGTTTTCTCTTGGCATGCACTGTAGTTGTGTGACTCCAGGTGGTCCATGTCTGGGTCAATGGCCATGCAGAAGACACAGCGATGGGCACCACCGATAAAGGCGACTCCCCCCGACGGCGAGCAGGTCCACTTCTCGAGTGCTAGATGAAGCGACTTCTCGTGGCGTTGCCAGTCATACTTTGTCTGGAAGGTATCTGTACAGAAAGTGCATTGAAATATACGGGCGTTGCGGGTCTTCTGCTGGTTGAACGGGTTGACGGGCAGGGAGGGCTTCCGACGACGACGCCGTTCCTTCCGTTCCATCGAGCCAAACGACCCCAATGAGGAACGGTGTGAGAAGGCGGACGCAAAGGAGAGATCAGATAAAGACGAGCGACTGGCCGATTGACTGGTTTCATGACTGCTGACTGATGGAGCATTAAACAAATTGGAGTTGTCATGGCTTGAGTCATTGCTGGACCCAGTCTTCCGAGAATGGGAACGCACGTGACCTGGGTGAAACGAGCGCGGCCGCTCAGGATCTAGGGAAGTGTTGTTTAAAGCTCGAATAATATCAGATGTGGCAGCGGGTTCGTTTTCGGGAGGGGAGTGCTTCCAACGTTCAAGAGGCGTCATGGTTGCGACGTCTCGACGTTGCTGTTGTCCGGGGATATCCACTGCTCCGGGCGCTGCTGGAGAACTGCTGCGCGGAGGAGCTCGAACTTTACCGCGTCGCCGAGCGTTGGCGAGCCAATTGCATATCTGGGTCCGTTTTAGACCCGTGCGTTGCTTCAGCTCGTCTTTTTCTTGGTCAGTAGGGTAAGGATAGGCACTATGGTCCAGCAGCCAGGTCTTGAGGATGCGGACCGCTTCGCGCGACAATCGGGAATTGCTCTTCCTTGACTGGCCGTCCGCTTCCTCGGCGATGTACGAATGGGACTTAAGCGCCTTCTTCCCTGTTAGACCGCCAGTAGTATTATCGATGTTTTCGGCAATCGGGTGTAATGTATCCAGGAACCGGCCGGGAGCTTCGACCTGCTTGGTGAAACTGCATTCACGCCAGAGGGAGATGCAACAAGTACAGCCACTTTGGCGCATAACTCCACTCTTCGCAACAAAGCAATCTAGATTCATATGCCTGCAGAAATCGCAGGGCTCCCTGGCACGCCTCATTGGATAGACACCATTATCAAGAAGAGAATTAGGAACATCCACCAATTGATGTTCTTCGAGACCCTGGTTTGGTGGGTCATTGGAGAAATCTATCGGTTCGACTTGTAGGAACGAGTTGTAGTTCGCAGCGGCATCACCCTCGTCAATCTCAAACTTGTCGGAGGCAATGTCATCTTCGCGTACAAGAGACTGCGAATCATACGAAGCCTCGTCGAAGTCGAAGTACTCCATATCCCACTGGACGAGGTCTTTATGGGAAGATTAAATTCAAGAAAGAAGTCTGTGGGAGGCTGGCGAACAGGTGATCCGTGTCTATCTTTTTTAAAAGATGAACAAAGAGGAAGATCAGACGAGCAACAGCATGGAGCAAGAGATCAAGTCATGAACTGTCTGTAGAAATGAATAGTAAGCGGGTTGTTGGCGGGCGGACGGGACAGCCAACATGACTATATTTTTCGTCTGGGGTATCAGAAGCACGCCGAACTGCAGAACCCTGGTCAATTTGCCAGTTCCTTCCATGCACCCCGGAGGAGGAGGGAGGTGAGGGAGGGGGGGGGTGCTGGAGCCATGGAGCGCTGGAGCGCTGGATCGTATCCCGTCACCCGTTCGACCTAGCGATTGTTGGTCTCCGGAGAAGGCTGCGTGGTCCGGACGGGGATAGGCGAGCAATGGACAAGAGATCAGGAAAAAACTGGAGCTCATGCAAGACTGCACGCCCTTCCAATGACAGCACCATTCCTATTCGAGGCAAGCGTTGTCAGTGCGTACAGCCAACTTTGCGCCCACACTAGTCCCGGATAGGCAGGAATGATTCATCAACGATATCGGAGCGGTGGGGGACCGTCTTTATCGATTGTCAACACCGCGATAAACTAACTACAGGTAGCATCCTCCATGCCTCCATGTGCATGCCAAGACGAAGAGTCTGCTTCTCCTCGCCTGCCGTTTACCCGCTATCGAACCATACGATCTCGTCCTCTTTGTCCGTTCAATAACTAAGAATGTTGCTTTCCTCTGATTGAGTACCTCCGTACGCAGGTCAGAATCGGGGACTCTCTTGCATACACTGCGGGCGCCAACACGATGTCATTCCTGATTCCTTTGATCGACTCTCGGCTCAATCACGGAACCTTCTTGTCCGATAGGACCGTAGCCTAAGAGATATTGAGGCTTGGCAGACAATGCGGCCTCTTCGGGTGTACATGACATCGTAGGTCATCACGATGATCGAAGACTACGATTCGAACACCCCTGGTCTAGCGACACGACGCGAGTATGATTTGTCTGGTCTTTAGCAGCAGCAGCAGCAGCAGCATCGTCCTCTCACACAAGCACCGCCCCTTCCCCCTTCATCCAGATCTGTGCGACTACTCGTATCTCTTTGTCCAGCTCGCGCCCCCGCGATGCAATCCTCGTGGCCCTAACTATCAAGGTGTTCGCAACCGCGCCACAAGCGGCTTACAACTACCGCAATACAAATACGCATATAAATCAGGGAGTTGACGAAAATAAATAGGTTGACTCTGAAGCATAAGACTGGAAACAGCAAGCAATGCGTTTCCTTCTTCCAATTCGGCACACCTCCGACGACATTGCACATTCCAACAGGAGTGAGTGAGTGTGAACCAACCAGCCATTGAGCAGCTAGAGTGTAGTCGAGCCAATCCAGCGAGTTCGTATGCACAAAAAGCCTTGTTGTATGCTTTTCGAGTGCGTGTTTCTCTGCGATTGGCATGTCCGCGGAAATCGAAAGGGAATCTCACGGTTCGATAAACTTGGTGCAACTGAGCAAGACTAACTAACATAAGGCTGGTAGCCAAGAACCGCCCGTCTCCACTTAGTAGAACTCTGGATGCCAAGAACTGAAAGAAAATTCGTCGAAACCCCCCACGGGAGCCGAGGGAAGTTCCGCCGGTTGCAAGGAACAGTCACAGAGGTGATGGATGGGGCTTCTGTAGGGGGGAAATGCATCCCCCCCCCCCCCTTCCCCGCCCCGGCTGCTGTAACCCACGGCGCATCACCTGACTGTGGATATTGAAAAAGGCCTTCGAATGTACAGTACCTAGATCATAATGAAACCCACCTTATGCTCCGATGAGAATCACCATGCCTCTTTCTTCCGTAAATCTCTCCATTCCTTGTATTCAGTATGCTCTTTGGACGGTGACGTCTATCGAGGTTTCATGAAACACTCTTAGAATCCCAATTGGCAGAGAATGTCAGTGTATTGGCACTTTTTCAGTAGAATGCCATGGTCTGTCCAAATTCCATGATCCGTGCTCTTGCACTCTATGTTGCTCAAGGGTGGCGAGTGTACTATGAGGTCTACTGCATATTCAACTTACCTAAGATCACCATTCTCTATGCCTTCACGCCATAATGAACACACACTCGATATATCATAACATCAGATATCTTTTGTAGGGAAGTATCCGTACCATAAGTATGTATAAATAAATAAAAGTGTATCGCGCCAATCCTATGGCTTGCATAGTTCAAACCAGGTCTCTAGAAGCCCCACATCGAAAACAATAATTTATGAATGGGCGACAGTCAATTCACCCCTCTCCAGACGGTCCATTGTTACCCGAGCCACCCGAGCCACCAAAAAAGTATCCTTCTAGCATATCATAATTGGCATTCTCACTCCAATCATGCTGGAAATCCATCGCCATGCCGAAGCCGAGGTCGATCCCCACACTGTGACCGACCCCATGGCCTAATGACGGCATGGCCTGGAGGTTGTACTCGGGGTTGTTGTCGTCGGAGGCGGGAATTTGGCCATCGGCTGCATTGCTGGGGTCGAAGTCGAGGAAATCAAGGCTGATAGAGGTGGGGTGGTCGTGAGTTGGTTGGTATGGAGCACCAGCAGGGTGACTTGGGTTGTTGCCGGCACCGACACTGTTAGGTGAGGCGCTCTGCTGGGGCGAGTGGGCGTAGTAATACTGCTGCTGCTGTGGATGCGGTTGCTGTTGAGTCTGAGGCGAGACAGAATTGTCGTATGGAGACGCGTAGTATTCTAGGGAAGGGGTCCGCTGGGGATGGGGACGAATAGAGGTCCGGTCGGGAGGGTAGTTGGATGAGGAGGGATCTGGGTAGTCGGGTCGGGGCCCGCGAGGTGGTGGTGGGTACGACTGCACAGGTTTCCTGGGCCCATTGTTGGGCCGGTCGGGAACACCGGCATGATCGTTGAACAGGTCACCGAGATTCATGTCGAAGCGTGGCAATGGGCGAGGTGCTTGACGCATAGGGCCGGCGCCCTGTCGACGGACGGGGCCTTGGATATGGCGAGATCGTGGATCAGCCTGGTTGCCTGCGTATGCTCTGGTTTGGTTAATGTGAAGCGCAGCTGCCTGTCGTTGCGCTGCTTCGGCCTGGATCCGGCCGAGATCTACTTGCGATCCGAAACCGGTGGTCGAAAGACACATCTGTACTGTGGCTTTGCTCATTCGCTCGAAAGCGTCTCGACATGCCTCTGCAGGTGGACATTTGTGCATGAGGTCCCCAAGAACGGAGGTAGCGGCAAGGACAGTGAAGTCGACCTCGTCGAGTGTCTGTAAAGTATAAGAGACTGGGAATAAGGAAAATGGTAGAAAGAAAGCAATGGTGAAGTACGTACCAAGCGACTGCGAACCAGAGCTGAGTGCCAAATCGCATAGAGAAAAGAGATACCTGAGATGTATTAGCACGTGCTCATTAAACGTCAGTTCGATACAGCTTACCAGCCATGAAAATATGGTGTGTGGCCAGATAGGTATAATTGACCAACCGCACACGATGCATTTGGCGATAGATCCGAATCACCTTCTGCCCAGCCTCGGCGACTTTGTAGTAGATTTCATCCTCGTCCTCCACTTCATCCACATTGGAAAACGACGGACTATTCACGTCTTCAGCAGGCATCATTTCATCTGCCAATTCTGCTGGCACCGTCAAGCTCTGCTGATATAGCATGATAACAGCCTGCCAATAATTCAGCTCAAGGAACTCGACGGAGAACTGCACGCCTGTGTCACGGCGGGTTGGCGCGCTTTGCTGCCATTCTGCCAAGCGCCTGTGAACGTCTTTGCGCCAGGAATGAAAAGAGTCAAAGCCTTGCAGGAACGGAGATACAATATCTGCACGAATGGGTCTTTTGGCGGGATATGGCGACCGTTGTCTGAGGAAACGGGCTTGTTGGTGCTGAAGCACGTCTTGAATTTCAGATTGCAGAACTCGGAGTTTAAAATAGTGGTGTGCTGCATGCTTATAACTCGGTGCACCCTCGGGCGGTACCACGATGCCAGACTTAGTGATATATTGATCTTCGAACGCGGATGGAAACTCGGTGCTGATGGCTTGATCGCTGATACCGAATGGGCGACCGACACAGCAACTGACCAAACGATCGAGACTATATACACACCACCAAAGACGGCGACGAAGATCACGCACCCAATGGCGCCGTCCTAGTTCGCGAGTATCGACATGCTTCTTAGGTTTATCGGTGCTCTTGCCTTGAGTACGACTGAAGCTCTCGTCCCCGGGTGTATCGATTTCTGTGCCGTCCTCGTAATGCAAGCCAAGATCAACTGCCAGTCGCATCGCAACGCCGACGATGTACCATAACCCAGGTGCTACAGGTCGCAAAAGAGCGAAACTAGCGAGAAGGAGCACAGCTTGCAATTCTTCCAAAGCACCTGATCCGTCTCCAGAGGCAGTATTCCCAAGGAAAGACTCCAGATGCATGATTGCAGATGCATGGTACTCTTCCGGTTGATACTGGTGGCTCGACAGTCGCGGTCTTTTAGAACACGGCGATGGAGAATGGTCTCGGACTTCTCGTTTCCCGTCACCTGATGGTTTATCCTCGAAGATGATACCCGCACCTATAGCAAACACAATGTTGAGAGTGTAAAGGCTTCGTGGGGAGCGGTTCTTCTCGTCCACTGCATATGTCCGATCGAGCATCTCCATGAAGTCAGTCCGATGAAGAATGGGTATCTGGGCGTTTGCATGTTCGAAGTAAAGGTTGACCAGCCTTTCAGCTAGGTCCCGGTCCGGAAATGCCGCACATTTCATGGTCGGCCGTGTCTGTAGGCCGAAGAAAGAATCACGCATCGTACTACCAGCAGTTCCCGTGGCACTGTGCGGCAGGCGCTCATTGGGACGCATTGGCCCGCGCTCCGTAACGTTCCCTGACACGGAACTCTTGACAGCAGCGAAGACGACGCGAGCGAAGGAGATCCCGGATGTGGAGCCCAGATACCGCGGATCAGAGGTTCCTTGCACCGAGACCATTCCTATGTTTGATACCAGATTCTGAATGCGCCAGTTGTCCTCTTTGTTGGAATCCCGGGTTTTGTCCAGCTCCTGTCCGCTCGAAGCATCCTTCTCGTGTCTCACGACCGAGCCGTCTGTCTCCCCTTTCACTCCTTTCTCATCTCCATCGGCAGTAGATCCTTCGGCTGTAGACACCAAGGCCTCCGAGCCTGTGGTCGGTGCCTGAGGAGCATCAAGCCCCGCCTCCACTTTCACGGCCTCCTCTTCATCAAATGCCACTGGCTCCTTATACTCGATCTTGTTGTCCATCAACAGCTTTTCTAGATATGCCACGCGAGCCTCGAGAAAGTAGACGTAGCTACGGGGTATTTCGCGTTTCGTGATTGGGTCGTAGCCGACGCATCGGACGCCGGCCTTTTCGCAGGACTGGCATCGGGGGAGTCGCTGGTCACAGCGATTTTTTCGCAGACGACATCGGTTGCAGGCGGATACATTGCGGAAAGAAGAGGAATTGGAGGCCTGAGATGAGGATATCGAACTTGCGGGGGCGAGCGCTTCACGGGCGGCCTGCTGCTGAGACTGCGCCGGCGACTCTGCAGGCATCGAGGACGTATCGGTTGACGAATGCGGTCTCTTCCTCCCTGAGAAGGTCGGTGAGGGAGGAGATGCGGGGTTCAGCATGGCGGAAGAGGCACGACAAAGGGCAGCGCAAACGTGCGAGCATGTCTCGGGAATGGGTTTCTGAAGATGTTGTTCAAGCGAGATGGGTCGAAACAAGAGTGCGAAAGTCCTGGAAACAGCCGACCATTCATGGTAGGATCAAGCGCTGGCTCCTAACGTGTCTCATCGATAGAGTAGTGTACCGTATCGACGCGAATTAGACGCACGTGGTTCTGAGGTCGCCAGTTGCGTATCGTGACGGCGACTTATGCGGTCGGTCAATATTCGGAAGGCAAGGCACAGTTGCAGCCCATGACGCAGGCGGTCTACTTGCACGAGGGCTCTAAAGTCTGGACAGGAATTAGTGTCGCGCGAGAGAGACGTGAGTCAGAAGAATGGTGGACACACGCACGGAGACGAAGATTAGGGGAGGGGAATAAGCAGGCAAGCGCGCCGAGGTTGAAGATAGCAAAAATTGGTGGAGATGCTGGAGGAGGATAAGTCTGGGTCCCGGGAGTGTATGGACCGGGAGAAGAATCATGTCAGCACTCACCCACCCTCTCACAGGCACTGGTTCGTGCTAATCTAACTTGGTTAAGTGAGTTGCGGGCGACGATTCCGCTGACAAAGGTACAGTAACTTATCGCGCCGTCCTATCCACAGCGGCCATAGTTAATTCAGAAAGCTGAAGCTTTGATCTCGGTGTTTACTTGAATACTTCTCTCAAATTGTAGTAGCCATTGGGCTTAAGCAAGACAGAGATATGTGTTGAGTAAGGGCGTGTAAGGAAGCGAGTTAGTGAAGAGATGCCGAGGTGATCCACATAAGGTGCTGGTACTGTATAGTACAGTCCCTGCCACGTGATCTCGACTATTCAATCGGAGGCTGATTGGTTACTGATAAGACAGGTCCAGGTCCCATTATAGATCTCATGCCTCTCGTTTAGCTTATATTGTGACCTGAACAGGGCCATAGAGTGGTAAGAAGAAAAAAAGAAAAAGAAAAAGAAAGAAAGGAAGAATAAGGGACACATCTTTTCCAGTCTGCTGAGTGGTAAGTGAGGGCTGAAGAAAATAAAATCATCTGTGGGTTCTTGTTTCGTTAGTACTAATGGGATATTGATCCCTAGAGGGAAACCAGCAACTGGTCGAAACAGTACTGTACCCTCTCCTCTTGAAAGCACAATAATGAGTAATAAGTATCTATGCAATGCAACATCAAGATTTGATTCCGAGCACAGCTCGGTCATTAATTCATCATGAGAATATAACAAGCACTATGAAGGCCCGGGAGAGAGAGCCCAGTCAGTCCAGTGATAGCTAGTTCGGAATAGCTTCAGCATACCTCACTTGGGAAGCTGTGAGCGGACCGAAACTGACGGTCGCTTCCACCACCCGCATCACCGAAGAGGCCCAAGTTTCCCCCACGCCTAACCAGCTCAGCGAGGGGCTCGAGAAGAGGGGCATTCATAGAGTTGTTCCCCTACAGGCGGGGCCGGCTGATCCCCCTCTCTGCAAGCCCCGCACTACCATATGACGTGAATGCATGGCAACAGCGTGGTCGATTCACCAAGAAGCCTAACTGACTACTGCATCAACGTGCGTGAGGCTTGGCCGACTTTGCCGCTGAAGGAGAGGGGTTGACCGAGTCGCATTGGACCGACACCCAGAGCCTCGAGAAATGAAACCCCGGTTAAATTGAGGCAGGGAGGGGTAAGGCGAAAATCCACTATGGCAAGCGCGGTAGCGCTCACCAATTTGAATACAGGAATTGAAGACAAAAAAGTTGCACCTTTAACATTAGAGCGGAAGACGTAATCATACCAAATGAAGCAAACGTAACTATCTTTCATTTGCCTCGATTATCTTTAGATAGTGTTGTGGAGATGTTTCTCATGTCCACTTCAATTTCCTAGCAACGGATTTCTCTTATCGGACTCTTGAAGAGTTGGGATATAATAAGCGCAGTAACCAAACAAATGTGAAATGATAAACACAAACAGCCTCTCCAATGCATGAAGTCATAGATGCCCAACGATGCCCATGCTAATAATGCCAACAGAAACCAATCCAACAATAGAAGATTTGAAACAGACTCGCCAGCCCTCATGCTTTTGTCGCATATGCATCCGGTCTATAAACTGCGCCATCGCCCATCTTGAATCAGGGTCTAAAAAAAGCACAAAAGGTAAGGACAACAGAAAAAAAGAAGGCAAGACAAGCCACCAGGCACAATATCCACAAGATGAAACAGAGGAAGTTAAAAATGACGTATGAGTTCAAGAACTGAAGGGGAAGGGAGAGAGATCAGAGATTTGCGGTGATAAGACAGGATACGTAGGAGGCTTCAGACTTCGACTTTGGACTTGGAAGACTCAGGCGCGCATAATTGCGCTGAGTCAACATGAGGGGGAACGTCCAGCTCATCGATGCTTGTCCGCGCGGAAGAGAGCAGTCTCCGCACCTCTTCGGGAGTGCCGTCCTCCTTTCCGACAGTGAACGAACCCCGCAACACGTTCTGATCCTCCGACATGTCATCAGGCTGGGATTTCTTTTCCATCTCCTTCTCTCGCTCAGACTCTTCCATCCAGAAACTCTCAAAGGCACCAATGATGCAGACAAGGCCGCAAGCCCACCATGCCAGCACAGAGTATCCACTCTCGAGACCTTTTGAGTGCAGTAATCCGGTGATGGTCGGGCCAAATGCGCGGCTCAAACTGGCAGTGGAGGCTGCGGCGCCGTTGATGGAACCAAGCACCTTGGAAGATGGAGCGGCATTGGCAAGCAGAATTGCCGTAGCGGGGAATGCGATGACATGTAGAGTGATCTTGCTGATCAGAGCCAGATAGGCCGCAGCCAGCTGGAGCTTCTCCGGCAGAAGGATGAGGTAAGGGACCATGAAGTACAATGGGGGCCAAACCAGCAAAACGAAGCGGAAAACCCTGAGTGTGCCGAAACGACGAACAACGAAGGGAAACAACCAAAGCTGCGCGATCATTGAGTATACACCTTGAACTGCAAGCATAAACCCGATCTTCTTGGTTGCCAGTCCCAGACCTCCGGTAAACTTCAAAGGAAGCGAAGCGGCATCAGTGGATGTAGGAGTACTGAGGATGACCGGCATGAGTTGGTCGAACGAAACACTATGGCTGATGACGATGTCAGTACCGGACTATTGTGGAGAAGTAGATACTCAGATTAGACTCACTATGCGAGAATCCCATAGGCGATGATGTTAAAGATCACTTGCTTCGTGAAAGCCTTGGGCTTCTGCCCTTTCATCTGCCCCTCAATGTCGTCATCCGTAGAGAGATCATCTGATTCCTTCATCGGACCCAGACGAGGGGAAGACTCAGCACTTCTGTATTCTGGGGGTGGAACATCGTCGTAGACGAAGTAATCATCGCCGGCGGTTTCCGCCTTGACGTCCAACTCCTCGGCAAGATTGACGCGGGATCCCTTGAATTTGTTGACCAGCCAATTGCCTAACTCCAAACCCGGGTCGCGGCGGTTTCTCTTCTCGGGATGGGTCTCCTCCAAAAACAACAAACCCACAATGATACCGGACGAGAGGACGACAACACAGACCAAGTTGGGCAGCAGAAATGGAAAACTATCGAAAATGGTTCCACGCTGGAACAGCCAAGGGTAATTGTCGCAGGGCTGTGCTAACGCACCACCCATGGCAGGTCCGATGATCGAACCTAAGCACCAGACGAAGGGCATAATAGAATAGGCCCGAGGTTGGTGCTCTTTGACTGTGACTATCTCCGCAACGGTCGTTTGGAGAACTCCGATGTTACCATTCAGAAGACCTCCCAGGGCCCGGGCGACCATGGCAGTCGCCAGGTTGGGAGCGAATCCGAACACGATCATGCTGATGGCGGTTCCAATCAGGCCCATGACCAAGACGGGTTTCCTACCAATCCTGTCACTCATGCGACCCCAAAACATACCGGCGGAAAATTCGGCGAATGTGAATGACGAAGTGATCATCCCCGCGTATAAAGCAATCTTGCGATCATTGTCTGTCACGTGGAAGGACTCAACCATCTGATAGACATAGGGGAATATGGACATAAATGCGATTGGCTCGCAGATGCGACATAGCGCTAATCCAGATGTCAGTCATGATATCCATGATCCATTCTAGTAGATGCTCCCCGAGCGCAACAGGCGCGGCAGTGGAAAAATAAAATAGAGGAATCTGAATTGGGGGAAGAAAGGGGGAAAGAAGAGGGGAAAGAGGGGCAAAGGAAAGAATAGAAAGATCCAACGACAAACAAACTAGCATTCGCCTTGAACACCAGTCTCTTCCTTTTTTTTCCCGACAACTGTTGGGCGCAAAAAGCAAAAAGCAACAGCAAAAGCAAAAGCAAAAGCAAAAATACCAAAGGTCGGAAACGTACCTAGCACGAAGAGTTGCCGTACAGGGAAAGCCGACCAATCATCGTTGCGCTCGCCATGTCGACGGCCTTGTAAACACGACGGGCGTTTAAACATCCTGTCGATGGACTGTTCGTGCAATCCTAACAGCCACGGGGTGATCGAATTATATCTGCTTGCTAAACCTTTGATCCAACAGAAGCAGGTTTGCCAGTGAGATCAAACGGCCGGAAAGGAATGTGTCTTCGGTGTTGTGACCGAAGGGAGGGAATGCTGGGTATAGTATAGTGATAAGATCGCTGTGCTGAAGAAAGGAGAGAGGCTGTTGGTCAAAGGGGGCTCAACATTTCCTCCCCCTGTCGCAAATTCAATGGCGAGATTCCCGTTCGTTTTCGTGTCTCTGCTTCTGCTGGTCTCCCTTTTGGGTTCGGTGATGGTCAAGAGCCGAGAAACGGCTAGGCTGTGTAACTGCAAGGGAATCCGATGACGCCAAAGTTTGATTTCAACAAACTGGTCCCTCCTGGAAGAAGTTGTTCAAGGTAACGAGGAGTGAAGACAGAGAGACGGATCAGTGTTGTTCAATTGAGTACAATCGAGGAGAGTATCCAGTTGATCGTCTGGACAGTAGGCCAAAGG